TGGGGTTCCTTGGGCTGTTCGTAAACCTCTTTCTTTCCATATTGCTCCATGAGCGTGGACTACACCAAAAGTGTATTTCGCCACATATTGCAATAAAGTCACAGATGCATTGTTTTCCTTCCACCCCTCTAGTCCTTTCACAAGCTGATTTCCAAAAAGAGTTGGGCTATTTTTAAAACCCAGAGGGAGTACAGTCCAGCATAATTGAGTCTTTCTTCCAGTTGTGGGGTTTTCCCATTCAAAAGCAGTAATTCCTGATGCTTCTTTTCCAGAGGAATGCAAAAGAAGGCATCTTTTAAATCCAGCACTGTAAACCACTCATCAGTATCTCTAATAGTCATTAACAGTGTATTCGGGTTTGCAGCAGTAGGGTGTACATCCTGAGTTATTTGGTTAATAGCGCTCAGATCTTGTACCAGGCGATATTCATTCGCATGGGGTTTCTTTACAGAGGGAAAGGGAGTATTACGTTCTGATTGACATTCCCACAAATTTTGTATTAGAGGTTCCAACCCTTTTCTCGCCTCCAATTTTATAGGGTATTGTTTTCATCTTACTGGCTTTGATCCATGTTTCATTTCAGTGTTTACCGGTTCCATGGCTTTTGACCTCCCAGGCACTCCAGACGCCCCCACGAGGGGGTTAACAGCATTCAACACCTCTTCGGGAATCTCTGAGACATCTGCTCTGCCTCCTTGCTCTAACAAACTTGCACGTCCAGCGCTTTTTCTTCTGGTATTTGCACATGAATACGATCCAATATTGTCATTTAATTTACTTAATAAATCCCTTCCCAACAGTGGCATAGGACAATTTGGTGCGTATAAAAATTTGTGCGTATAAGTTTGAGAGCCGAATCCACATTTAATGGGATGGAAGAAGGGCCTTGCTTCCCTTCCTCCGGTGGCACCAATAATTGAAAACTTCTGATCACTTAATTTGCCCTTACATGTATTTAAAACTGAACAAGTTGCTCCTGTGTCTACTAAAAAATTCCACAGTTTCATTTTCCAACCTCAAGGTGACCAGGGGTTCCATTAGGGATGCTTTCGAGTCCTCCTCTGGTCCCCTTCAATCTGAATCTTGTCCCAAAGTAATTCAGCAACCCTAGGATTTTCCTGCCTCCTAGGAAGAGGTCTCTGAAAACGATTTTGTGGACATTCTTATTTCCAGTGTCCCTGTTGTTTACACATTACACATTGATCTCTCTCTCAAGGAGCAGGGAGTTTCCAAAGTTTGCACAGCTTTCTCTGGGTCCTCTCTACAGGTCCCACACATTTCCTTCCAAGCTTGCAAATCAGCCACAGAAAAAGGAACTTTAACCCATACCAGCTCCCTCACTGGTCCTACAGGTTATCTGAGAAGAGCCTGCAGCGCAGCCCCCACTGCCTTGTCCTTCCTGCAATTGGGCTGTAAGGTTCATTCTCTAAATCCTGTCTTTCATCAGCATTACCAGGTCTGTCCTCTGGTCTATGGGGAGCAACCAAAAATTCCAACACCTTCTTCCTCCTTATAGTTATTGCACCGTTTCCCAGTACTACATGCAGAACAGCATCACTTTAAACGGCTATATCTTGCATCCTCCTTTTCTAATGACAACACGTTAGCATCTTTAGTTACCAGTCCACAATCCCTTCATGCCTTACAATCATTTCTCAAAGCAAAAACCAAATCAATATATGGTATTTCATTTCGTTTTCCTTCCCGCCTACAGCATCACATCGATTACAAAATAGTATTCTAATTCATGGTCTCATTCTTTGGCCACTTTTCCTCATCTTTCAACACATACACTGGCCACCACTGATCACAATATTCAATTAGTTTCTTTTGAGTTAACGGATTTCCCCCAAACTTATTCCAGTGTGGCGATATACATCCCAAGGGGGAAGCCTTTGTTATCTCCCCTTCTGTGGAAGAAGTAACATTACCTGTTATACCAAACTGCACCAAATTACCTGCTCTGGTTGTCACAGTACAAACGCAAGTAATACCCAGCAGCTGCAACACCAAAACCAATCCTTAATCCACCTGTGTGTGCTCCAAAAATCACAACGTATTTGGGGATTTATTTCCAATTATTTCAATATCTTGAGTGATATCTCTACTTGCAGCTTCAGCAAATTACTCACCGCCCACTAGGAAAAAACTCTGGAAAGTCCCCAGAAAATTATCCAGTGCGCGCTGGAGTTCCCATCGTGAGTCCCAGCGGCGAGAAGAAACAGACGAAGTCAAAAGTATCAGTGTCCCATCTGGGTCACCGAAACTGTTACCTGAAATAAGGACTCTTCGAAACTATCAGAGTTTAGAGAGGAGATACTGCTTTATTCGGGCCCAGGTGCTAGGGGTATTTCACCACAAAGCTAGAACACCCTCGGACACCTTTGTATCCAAGTTCCCAACACCTTCAGCCCCTTTAACCACAATTCCTCTCCTCCTGGGGGCTAACATTAAGTCCAAATTCACTATCTATCGTTTAAGGCTGCATTAGTAGCCTTAAGAGCTCGCTGAATGTCACCCATTTCTTTAATCAGAGCAGAATGTACTGCATAGCATAAGCTTATTCCTTCACCTGGTATGCAGGTAAGAAACTTACTGAGGCCAACTACCTGGTTGCTCTGGGTGGGAAGGAGCAAACTTAGAAGAGCTGCGGTATCTGTTGATCAGTATGAATGCACTTATGAATGAGATGCTTAACAGAGCTGTTCGATACTTGTATTTTTAAATAGGTTATTGCTTCTAGTCTGTGTAGCGGTGTGTTCAGTAGACTTCCCTTTCCAGAAAAGGGTAAACGTTAGCTGACAGTGCTTCAGGCACGCTTCTTTTCGATCTTGATGCCTTTGCTTCTTCTGAAATGTACAGTAAATGTTAATCTGGTTAAAATCTTTAAACTATTACTTATGTAACCTTGTTTGCTTCTTTAGGATTTCAAGCATACCAAGTCCTTTGTTATTTAGAAGATTTCAGCCTCTGTGAGGGACATCAAATGACTACTTGTTATACAAAAACATCAAAGGGATCTACCTGTAAATACTGTTTCCATGTACTACATGCCGAAGATAGACACTGCCAGTGCTTAGATCTAGTTAACCTGTCTGTGATTGCTTTTTAAAAAACCAAAACCTCAAAAAAACCTTAAAGATAGAACTAAACTGAATATACAAGTCAATTTGTGTGAAGACTTTGTGTTTTGTTCATGTTGTCCTGTCGGACAACAAGCTCAATATGAGTGAACAGTGTACTGCTGCTGCAGCAAAGAAAGCCAACAGGATGCTGGGTGGCATCAACAAGGGCATCACCAGCAGAGATAAAGAAGTCCTTATCCCACTCTGCTCAGAGCTTGTCAGGCCACACCTGGAATGCTGTGTTCAGTTTTGGTCCCTGCTACACAAAAAACATGTGCACAGGCTGGAATGTGTCCACAGAAGAGCCACAAAGGTGATCCATGGGAAGCCAGCCATAGCAGGAAAGGGTGAGAGAACGGGGTTTGTTCAGCCTTGAGAAAAGAAGGCTTAGGGGAGACCTTACCACCATGTGCCAGTACTTAAAGGTGGCTACTAAGAAGATGGAGACTCCCTTTTTACAAGGAGTCACATGGAAAGAAGAAGGGTAGTGGGTACAAGTTGTTCCTGGGGACATATCGATTGGACACAAGAGGAAAACGTTTCACAGTGAGATCAGCTGATGGAATAATCTCCCCAAGGAAGTGGTGGATTCCCCAACACTAGTTACTTTTAAGATTCAACTGGGCAGGGAGCTGGGCCGCCTTGTCTAGACCGTGCTTTTGCTAAAAAAGGTTGGACCAGACAATCCTTGAGGTTCCTTCCAGACTGGTATTCTATGATCCTACATACACATGCAGCAATGCAGGATCCACTCCTACAGCTTGGAACAATCTACTCAAATAACTTTCACAGATGACCTCGCTACCACTTCTACTACTTACAGCTCCACCACCATCAAGGGCTCAAACTCTCCTGCAGTTCTGACATACTAGTACCGTGACATTGTATCAGACTTGCCAAAGCCATCTGTAAGTGTGCAAGTAGTCGTGCAGACTTAAACTCACAATCCTGACAGAATAAAGCTTCCTGTAATTGAGGCTCAAGCAGTGTTTTATTGTCCAATATCAAATGCCTACAGCTTCTCTTCCACAAGGAACGGTATCTCTGTCTCTCTGTATTCTCCATATGTAATTTCATTCTGAAGCAAAATCATGCCAATACAACTCAAGCTATAGTATCTGGACCCTAACTGTTGAAGTGTCACAAATAAAGAGATCCTCAGGACCTGAAGTGTTTGTGTCAACAGTTCAGTTACTCAAATTTAAATCTTACAACTTCATTAACAGGTTTTCAGTTGCTTCTGTAAGAGTAACACTTCAATCACTGGTGTGTTCACTGATGCAGTGTAAAATTAGTACATTTGTGCCTCTGCTTTTGGCTGTGCAGGTCCCTCAGTACCACAGGGCTTTGCCAGATTTAGGGTTCATGGGTCTTTTTTTCTGCAGAAGCTTTTTCATAGTCTGCCTATTCTTACTTGATCTTGCAGTGGACACAGAGTCTTGTGTTAATATCTGCACAAATTTGTATCATTAATAGTTCAATATCTAAAAAGTTGTTGAAAAAATTATGATTTCTCCCTGTAAGAGGAGAAAAAGTTAAAAAACCCCCACAAAACCAAACCACTTACATTCCCGTCTCTAGGGGTAATACAACATCAAATAGACTGTCTAGGCATGGAAAGACTCTCCTTCCATTTCAGAACAGGTCAAACAAGCATTCCGTGAGAATCTTTGAGGTACACTCGGTGTAGGAGTTTGGAAATACACCTTCCTTCTTGGTGTATCATTGTCAGTGTTTTTTAACTTCTCAGCACTGAAATGTAGCTTGGCAAAGGAGTTTTGCAGTTAACGTTGAGAAACACTACTCAGATATATCAGTCGCTTAGAGCTGATGATCACTGCTAACCACACTTGCCATACAGTCAAGAACTCACACTTCTGAAATCAAACTGAAACACTGCATTTATTAAGTTACAACTGATGCCACGTTCAGCAACTCCATTGAGGTACACTGCCGTTTGGTGTACAGCCTGCAGAGATCACTTTGGAGTCTCCTCAAACTTGGGCTCTAAAGGAGGAAGGAGAGAGAGCGAGAGAAAAGTTGTATTAGTCTCTTTTTATTCCAGCCTCAACCACCACAATTCATCTGTTACTCAAAGAAAACCAAACATGAAGTTGGCAAGCTCAAGTAAGCTCTCACGCATCGCAGCCCGCACCACCCCTTTTTTTGTGACAGGGTATGACCGGATGTGGGCAGCGCTGAAGAATAATAAACTATGCTGGAGACAGGGTTTTTCCACCTTAGAGGAGTTATGCAGGAGGTTTCAGACAGACATGCACCTTAGTCCCATTCTGACAAACAGCTTTTAGCAACACCCGGGGCAGGGAAGAAGGCAGCAGAGAAACTGAAGAAGTCAACCAGAACGTTACTGGACGCGACGCTATTTCCAGCATAGCTCTGATACAAGAACAAGTAACCAAGCTCTTCTTTCCTCTTGATTAACAGAATGGAGTGCACAGTTTCAACTCCACTCGGCAAAAGACGTTCTCCACACACAAACACTGAGGAAGGAGTTCTTGATGTCAAAGCTAAAAACTCACAAGGGTTAGGGCTTTTGACAGGTGGGCTATTAATGCCTGCTCTCCTTGCTACAAAGAGTCTGAGAGGCGAGGCTCAGCTTACAGTAATCTGCACTAAGACAAAAAAATATTACGTTTCTACCCATCCTACCCACTTAGTTTTGAAAATTTGTTAAAATTAGATTAAGGATAGACAACAGTGCTAAAAGAACATGGTGTCCCCCCCACTTTGTTTTGTTCCTATGGTCACACCAATTTTGTTTCATTGCAAAAAAAAATTCTAAACTTTAATATGTATTGTTTCACACATTACATAAAAATAAAACGGAATATAAAGAAACCACATCCCTAAAACTGGGCGGGGGGACAAGACACCGCTCCGTTTTATTTGCACCAGTAACAATCTTGCACCAAATTCTTCCTTAATCCAACTGAAATACCACCAAAACCCAAGACATTTTTAGGCGTGTTCCTACCCTAAATTAGAATTTCCAGTTAGTCTGATAAGAATTACAAGCCACTGACTATGGGGGCTTGACCTTGGCTGTCTGCCGGGTGCCCAACAAGCCTACCACTCCCGGTCTT